CTTCTTGACTAACTAATTTATTTTCTAACAACGAAAGAAGAAAGTCTTTGTAACTACGGAAACCTTAACGTTCCCATAGAAACGCTGTTAGCTATGATAGAGTGCTAGCGCTCAAGTAGTTTGCCAAAGAACGAGCAGTGAGAATGGCGGCGCCAGTCGTTGCATAGGATAAAGTAGAAATCTGCTTATCGACAGCAGGTCGCTACACATGAAGGTCGTCAGAGCCATCTAGCGCTTGTTATCCAGAAGTAGTAAGTGATCATCTCCTCAATGGTAATTTTTACTTGTTTTTTTATCTTTTATTTTATTTTGAAAAAGATTTTTTATTAATATTATCATATTCACATTCTTCTTATATTAATTTATATATTGCATCGAGATCGAAATGTGTTAGGAATTACAAATTATATAAATACAATATGAAATTTTGTTCAAGTAAGTACTATACTAACTGTGTGGTTAATCTATATAAACAATAATATAAAAATTCTTAAATTAAATCAATTTACATAAACGTACACGTCTAACTTTACAACGAAGGAATCAATAATTAAAATATTTCTAATTAAAAAGATTTAAGAAAAATTAGAATTTCAATTTTAATGAGAATTAATTGAACTGTTCCTTTGTCAAATTTCACTATCAATTTTTAACATTCTGGACAAACTAATATTTCATATAAATTTCTACTAAAATAAATAATTAGTTAATTAATACAATAATGAATAACAAATATTTGTATAGTTTTTGAATAATAAATAACAATATACATATATATATATATAAATATGAATATTTTTAGACTTTTTTTTAATGGAGTTAATTGGACAAATGAACTGCTCAATTATGAAATATAAAATTGTTGTTTCTGAATAAATTAACGAAGTAAAATAGGTGAAATCAGACACAGACAGACACACACACATATTCAATAGCAAAAAAGGGAAATCTGTGCGACAAAAGATTTCATTTATTGCATATGAAACTCACGTTTACAATGATTATTCCTTTACACAGAATATACAGTACGCCCTATATCCCTTTAGGTAAATGCTCTCTATAATGTATTACCTTAGGCTAATCCTTGTACAAGTTAGCCATTAAATAAAGGATTCGTTACTATGTACAATGTTGTGAATCAAAAATCGCGGACGTATTCGACTATACAAACTTATTGCGATTTTTTTGTTTCAATTATTTTCGATGCATTTCCTCTTTAGATTTCTTCCAAATTACGCTCACATAAGTGTAGCACGCGTGTACAAACACATCGACATCAGATAATAAGGGTTTACTAGTCTACGTAAGATGTGTTTTAGAAAAACAAAAAACACACGGTAATGTAAGAGGAATAAATTATCAATAAAAAAAAGAAGAAAAAAAATAAAACTGAAGTTAATTGTATATATACTTACATTACACAGTGTCGAGTGCATCAATCATTTTTCTTATATGCACCAAATCGTCCTGTTTTTTTCTCTCTCTCTTTCCTTTTCTCTCTCTTTTCCCATAGACTCGACAATGTCGCAGTATCATTCAAACAAACTTAATTCCTGTTCCTATTGATCTTTCATTTGTGTCGATAAATGTTCATACGTTTGACGTCGAGTTTAGGTTTGGGAACGAGATACAATTCTCTTAACAGATTTAACAACTATTATGTTACAAAAAAAGACGTACAAATTACGAAAAAAAAAAAAAAACAATTGACTAGCTATAAACACAATATCATGCACCTAGAGAGTGTCTCACATTATTTCGGACATCGTGCATGATGTCCTCTTCATTATACTCTCTTTTTCTTCTCACTTTGTTTTATTTCTCTCTCTCTCTTTCTCGCTGTACAATTATCGTGAATTTTGGGCGATCATCGGAAGCCTTTTTTGATTTTTCTTTTTATTATTTTTTCTATTTGCTTTTTTCTCTCTTTTTTTTTTTTTAACAAGGCACGCATTCATGGCACGAAACAATAAGACGTAGAAAAATGAATCCACAGGCTCTCGAATTCACCCTTCGGAAGAAATTTACGATTGTAAATTTTTCTTCGAACCCTTCTCTTCCCTATTTCTTCCCATACCCCCCATTTCCCCATCCTCGAGATTGGTTTAAGTCTAGAAAATTTGTTATACACCTTCTCTTTCTTTCTTTCTATTATAGGTCAATACTGATTTGCATTATTTGGCGTGCTTGTGTTGAATATCAGTCGTTTACGCTCTCGCAATGAATGAATTTGCTGTTTCTTTTCTTTTTGTTTAGTTTTTTTTGGCTTATTCGAAAGGCGAGGATCCTTAATAATAATCCTTGGCCCTGATAAAACGCAGCTTTCATAGCGCGGCTTTTGTTTTCTTTTTGTAAATATCAGCCTTCTTTTTTTAAATTGAAAGTTTTATAACAGGTACGAAAATTGTTCGCCGGTTTCGTCGTCCTCGGCATCGTCGCTTGATTCCTGACTGGACGGTGGCGTATCCAATTGTGGTAGACCGAGATCTAAATATTCCTGAAAAATATTTCAACAATGTTTTCATTGAAATTTTGTGTTTCGCGGTGCGGTGTTTGTTGTTTAATCAATAATCGAATTACCTCGTTCGCAGTTATCGTTAATATCCTATCGAGATCTTCAACCAATTCACTAAATGTTGGTCTCTCCGTTGGTTGATAACTCCAACAGTCTCTCATAAGCATGTATCTATGATAATAAGTAAATCAAATGAATATTTGAATAAATATGATTATTGGGTAGCCAGGAAAATTCGTTTCGCGCGGTTTAAATTGTTAATCTATCGTGCATACATTTATCCGAAAAGTTCGTGCCAATTATGAGAACAAATTTATGAATAAATCAGTAATAACACATATCGGGTAATAGAGAATATTATGAAAGATTTAAGGAAAGAGAGACGAAACTTACATTTCGATCGAGCAACAAGGTGGTTTTTCCATCCTGTGTCCCGTCCTCAGCAATTGAAAAAGTTTTTCGACCGAGGGTACGGATGGATATGGTGTACCACCCAGTGTCATTATTTCCCACAACAGAACTCCGTACGACCATCTGAAAAACATCGTTTGTTCTAAACGTCGTACAAATAAGGGTAACAAGAAGAAGAAGAAGTAGAGTAAGAAAGAAAGTAAGGAAGGAAAGGTAAGGAAAATAAAAAAGAAAATACTTACACGTCGGACTGAGTGGTGTAGACACGATGAAAAAGAGCCTCCGGTGCCATCCATTTAACAGGCAACCTGCCATCCGTTGTTTTTCTATAGTAATCGTGACAATGTATATCCCTGGCAAGACCAAAGTCCGCGATCTTGAGGATATATTCGTCGCTAACGAGAACATTTCGCGCTGCCAGGTCTCTGTGAATACATCTTCTACTAGCAAGATATTCCATTCCACGTGCCACTTGATACGCAAACGACACCAAGTCCTTTTGCGTTAGGGTCTTACGTTCCTTTTCTTCCTGACCGATGGTTGATTGGAAAGCAGGGCTTGCGCTAGGTCGGTGAATGCGAAGGAAATCACGAAGATTACCGTTAGGTGCAAACTCGACGATCACGTAAAGTGGTCCGCCTTGTGTACAGGCACCCAATAGATTTATTATGTTAACGTGTTTGCCTATCATCTTCATCATTTCCATTTCTGATACGAGATCCATCATCTCGGCGTCCGTGTGACTCTCTAATCAAAGATTCAAAGAAAATCAATTACATTGTTAGTACCTCTACTATTTGCAATTAGTTCAAATGTTTGTTTTGAGCTAGAGGAAATTCTATATTATTATTTAATGACGAGAGACATACAGGAGTACTTACCCTTTAACATTTTGACAGCAACGACGCTAGGTATACCCGGTCTACCAGTATTGGTTTGTGCTCTGATGACTTTTCCAAAAGCACCTTCTCCAAGAGTATTATCCAATTTCAATTGTTCCCTAGGAAGTTCCCAAGCGCTATCCAAGGGTAATTCGTATTCCGAAATGCTACCACCGTTGCTATCATCCGACGTAATCGTCGATTTTTGTTTTTCAATCTTGACAACAGGCATCAGAAGTGGTTCCTGAACGTTCTGCGCATTAACCTGTTTGGTCTTCTCCACGATAACCTTTTTCGTCCATTGGGTGACCACAGCAGCACGTGCAGTTTCAATAGCCAATAGCTTCTTCATCTTCTCGCGTTTCAAACGATGAAATATGTAGATTACGACGATGACCCCGACGGCGAAGAATACGCACAGGACTGCAGCCAAAACGTTCACCAGGATTTGTGGTCTTGCCGCTAGCGGTACACGGTTCTCCTCCAACGCTAATAACACGTTACACAGTCTTTTAATTTTGCCTCCTTGACTTTCACCTAACATCCTAACAGTTTGTATATCCTATCATTTTCTCCCGAAGATAATATCTTTTTTACCTAGGTTTTAAATTTATCTTATTTTATTTCTAATAAAAACAACAACGACACAAAAATTTGGTAATACCAGTAATTGGTTTTCTGGTGATTGGTTATTGGTTGGTTCTGTGAAATAAGATGAAAGGTAATACTGTTGTTTCAGCGTTAAGCATAATGCATCTTTATTTGGAGCGAAAAGAAATAGTTACATTGTTAAATACTTGCTCGCGAGTATATTTCTTAAGTTTGCTTTTCAATCCTTTATCTATAAGAAGTCTACCTATGTACATACATATAAGGAAACTAAATTAGATCAAAGGTAGTAAGAGTTGGTTGTTTTTCTTCCTTGATGGTATTTACGATTCCCCCGGCTCCTTGAAGTTGTTGGTGATTATAGTAATCGTATGGTTGAAGGGTAATCGTTGTAGACAGCGACAATCTTTCTACGGAACCCTCGTAGAGAACACGATTTATCAGATTTTCCGCGTAAAGACGTTGCTTTGGATTCATCTTACGTAACTTGGCTATGATAAAGTTCTTGTAAAATTGATACTCCTCCTCCACCTCCCCCTTTTTTTCTTTCTTCTTTTCTTTTTCTTTCGATGATTTTTGGTCGCATGGTTTCAATTTGGTTAATTCCTTTTCGTTGGAATTCTCCAGTCGATGAGAATCTTCCTGTTTCATTTTTTTCATTGTCTTCTCTTTTAACTGTGATTTGAAGTCCTTGTATTTGGTCGATGCCTTTTCTTTCCTTTCCATCTTCTCTCATACAAAAGAATGATGTCTAATTAATAATTTTTCGCTTAATTACTTTCATATTGTCCAATTTTTATTTTCGTAAGTAATATTTTTAATATTATCAGGATTTAATTTTGAAAAATGATTTCCAACGATTTTGTTAAATCGTTGAATTATTTGTTGAAATTATTTTACTTACCATCTTCACGTTTAGGGACTTTTCCTCTAAGGTCACATTATATTTTCGCGCACCTCCATCCTGATTTTCATTAACGCCCTCCAACGATTCGCGCGATATTTCTTTATCTGCGATTAAACAGCAGTCGATCAAAATAATACTAACGCCTTTATCCTCGTACGATATTGTTAAGCGTGATTCAAGCTCATATAATACGTTATTTTACACTCAAAAAAAAAAAAACAGAAACCGAGAGACAGAAATATAGAAAGAAGTCAAGATAAGGAGCATGAAATTAAAAAAGGAAGAAAAAATAGAGAAAAATGAAACTTCCAAAATCATTACTGCTAGCAAATATGATAGGTTTTATGCCGAACTGTGCGAGAACATCAATATATTGGATTCTTTATTGAGTTTGAGTAAGATCCCGAAAGTATTTTTTTGTTTAATTTGGAGGATCCCAATAAAATTTCAAGACTTGCTTTAGTGAACAGAAATATGTGGCACGCGCGAAGAATAAATCAATATGCATAAAATAAATGATAAACGTATAATTCTCGCACAATTCCAGTTTAATAAATTATATTTGAAAAGCAACGTGCGCGATTTCACAGTTCGTTTTTTATATATCCGAGTTAATTTGATAATTGGGGGTATGTTTTAACAGACGTTTATGTCCTCCTTGGAAATGTTCAAGCAATAAAATCATCGCTTCGAAATCCTTGTAAAAGAAAAAAAAGATTGGAACTTTCGTAATGCTCATGAAGGTAATTTGAAATGTTTGCTTTTTAAAGACCATCACTACTGGGAGGACATACGCACATACGATTGTTGACGCGTTAGACACGTAGATATGTAATTACGTGCGCATAAATGGTAAATGGGACACGACGAAGCCGCAAGAGATTTAAAGACTCGTTTAGCTGAAGTGTCTTATAGAGACATTGTTGGCTAACTAACATAAGTGATAAATATCCCCTCGATACTCACTTTCGACGACACGAAGGTAAGCACTGCTGAAGGTTTCCCCTAATGTGTTCTGTGCTATACAGGTGTACCATCCTTCGTCCTTCTCAGTTACGTTGTAGAGCTTCAGTTCTTCCGGATTTTCAACTATCCCAGCCTAGATTAGAAAAAAAAAATAGATAATTTTTGAGTCAGATCGTTCATTTTATTCTTCAATGTTCAACCCCGATAGCGTTTAACAATTAATTATCGAATGACAATGATATAAAATTCAGTGATCAAGTTTATTTTCGTTGTATGTGTGCACGCATGCGAGGCTAGTGCTGGAAATATTAGATTTATCCTAAATAATGAGCGTGCAAAGCTATAACGAAGGAGTAGTAAGGATATTTAGAGAGAACATGCGATTTTGGGTTAGTGTCATCTGCGTGCCCACCTTGACCTCCACCCTGACAGTTTGATTTGTTTTGTTGACGGTATCAAAAGACGTGTGGTAACCGTGATACCATTCAAGATGACGATGGGCAGCCGATAAGACCTCACAAGTCATACTAGCGTTGCTTCCTACGACGACTGTCGTGTTTCGTGGGGGTCGTGTCAGGATTGGTCGATGCCTCACGGTCTCTATAGGTTAAAAAATAAGAGATACCCAACCACCTTCCTTTTTAACTAGGCTTTTTAAAGAAACATAAAGAGAGAAGAAGAAAATAGTAAGAGTAATAGTTAGAGCTAGAGTTAATAAAAGACCGAATTCTTAACATATTTTTATGTGTGCGCGCGCGTATGCCTTTGTGAAAATGAAAAGAAAATAAGAGACAGACAACCATCACCACGTGTAAGATACAAAAAAAGAGATACGCGTGAGATAAACAACGTGTCCTCCTTTTTCTTTTTTTTTCTTTTTTCTTTTTTTGATTGATGAGAAAGAAGACACAACCCCAGCACCAGAACCTCCACCAGTGCCTACCGCATCAAAGTGGACGAGCGGTTTTTTATACCTGGAGTAAGGTCCCCTTTGGAGTATCCTCCTGATCACCGGGATACTCGGCTACTTTGACCCATTGTATGTAAGGTTCAAGGTCCGCCACGATGGGACACCTAAACGTCACGCTACTGTTCACCAATGCTGTCACGTTTTTTGGAAAGTCTTCGTTGATGTACGGCTTGTGCGGGAAACGCTCTATAGGTTAACGATTTTACTGAATACACGAGTTTATCCTAAATTTTGTTCATCGTAGTTGTTCGGTCAATTTTATTCTAGCACGCCAATTGCTATATCGTGTTTTTCACTAGACTAGGGGTGCCCAACTTTTTGCCTTTCATGATCAACGTTCGAAGATAAACAATTGTGTCCGAGATCGTACATGAATTATTATATTAATCTCAACAAATGACAAAAATAAGCTAATACAAATCTGTATAACTTCTTTTTAAGAAAGTTTCTGATTTTTTATTTATGTTGGAGCACAGGTTGGACAGCCCTGATCTAAAAGGATAGTTATGAGATATTAGGATTACGTGTTGAAATCACTCTTACCTATAATGTCGACCTTGAATGTATGATTAATGCAAGCAATACGATTGCACACAATGCAAGTGTAATTTCCACTGTCATCGGGTACGAGGTCTTCCAGTCTCAGCGTCCATTTAGTTCTAATAATTGTACCGAGTGATCTCTTGGGTTCTTCGTTGTTCTTTAACCAGGTAATGTTAGGCCTAGGATTACCCGTACTTGGACACCTAAGTCGTACCATATTTCCAGCCGGTTTTACGACTGGCTTATGCATCTCGTCGCTATTGTTGAATGTAGGTGGACGATCGGGTAACGTATTGTTGTGTTCACCGACCATTTCGTTTTCGCCTTTATTGTTGTCCAATTCGGCGTCTGATTTTTCACTGTCCAAGTGCAACGATCGCGTCTCTGGTAAATCTATGGGGGATAATTAAAAAGTCGTGATATAAATAAAAATAAAAAAAAATGAAGAATGTGTGTGTGTAGTAACTGCATCAAAGAAGTGCAGTTTCCTTTTTTTTATTATCATAATTTGGAGAAATGAATTCCTCTTGAATCAACTAAAATAAGTTACTGAGTTCGAGAATTCTTTCAATTAAAATAAGAATTAATTTGTGCTTACTTCTCGCTTCGATTTCAAGTTCATTAGTTTCATCCCTCGGTCTAAGGGCTTCAAGTACGTTCCCAATTTTTCCATCCTCTTCGCGATAGCCATCGTTTTGTAAAGCTTCTTCAACACGCAGTGTCACGTTCCTCCATTCGATCGTTTGATTGTAATCATTATACTTTTCGATTAGGCAACCATAAGTCCCGGCGTCACGAGATTCGAAGTATCTGAATTTGAGGGTTTGTTTCATCACCTTCACCCTTACCGTTGAATGACGAAGCACCTCGTTGTCCTTGTACCACGTAATATGTTCATCGGATACTGGTAAACACCGTAAACTCAACCTCTCGCCTCTGGACACGATCATGTCCGAATTCAAGGGATCTGTAACGCAAAAGGCACTCCCGTTAAAAATAGATTTACTCCGTCGTGCAAATATATGGGCGAGAAAGAGAAAGGAGTAACGGTGGGATAAAAGAGGAACAGGAATTTCTGGAAAATATATTACTCTTCGAATTGCCAACGTTATTTATTTCCTACTTTTATTAGTATAGTGCATATATATCTAAAACTAATACGTAATCATTGTATATTTGCTAGCGTAATTGGGTTACCCATTCGTTTTTCATTTTAACAATCATTGTTATTATCTTCATTTCAATTTGATGCTATGATCATTATAAGAAAATTCTCGGAAAATGTATTATCGTATAAATTCCTCTCGGTGTACGTTTCTTTTTTTTCCGATTTCCGCAGCATTGTTGTTGTTACGTGCATAGATTTGCACATGCAAATGCAATTTGAATTCCATGAGTTTAGTCATTATAGAAAAATGCGTAATGCTTATTTTTTCCGTAAACACGATACGACATCTGATACTTTTCCTCCTACCCAATGAATCTTTAGGATGTTAACTTGAAACCATACGGTAAATTGTTCGTTTTGTCAAATTCTCACCCCCTTAACCTTAAACGCGTTGTTTTTCTTTTTGCAAGGAGTGTCTCATTCACGAGAAGACGCGGAGGCGGCATCGCCATTTGGAAAATGGCCAAAAGCGAATTGCGATGCCGTTTCTCTATTTTCCTTTGCTCGTTTTCTTTTCACCTTCGTTCAAGTCGACGACGACGACGACGACGACGACGACGACGAAGACGACGTGCGCGTTGCTTCTTCCATTTCTTCCTTCAACCCCTCTCAACCCCCTCAACTTCAAGAAAGTTACGAACTTATGTACGTTTCTACGTATGTGTATACGTGCGTCTGCCTAAATTTAGAAATTTGTCGAGGGCAATGTCGTCCTTCTTTGCCACGACCAATCGTCATAGAATGAATCGGGAAACAGAGAGAGAGAAAGAGAGAGAGAACACATTTCGTTCGATTTTACAATCAATTCAATATTTTGGTTTTACCTCTTTCTTTATAGAATTTATATTTAAATTTAGAATATATGATCTTTGTTTCTACGCCTAAAGTTGTATCTTTTAAATGTTTGCAATATATAACAAATATTATGTTGTGATTATATCATACTGTGCTGAATTGGAATTATATAACCATTGCAAATACGCATAATATTTTATGTTATAAAATTGCAATAACAAAAATAGTCTACAATGTTGTCTATTTAAAATGGAAAATAATTGTTTTAGTAAAACAATACTAATTGTAAGATGAAAAAAATTATCCTGTTTTATCTCTCTCTCTCTCTCCCTCTTCTTTTTATTTTTCTTTTCCAATTTGTATTGACTTAGCTACAACATTTTCGTTCTTTCTTCAAACATCCTTCTATACGCATATTTCCGTACAGAGTACTCGCGGATGTTTGATGATGCACTCTCTTCTTGGAAATCGATCGAGTTTATTGTTACTCGTAACGAGATCTCTTCTTGTACTACTCTTCCTTCCTTCCTTCCTTCCTTCCTTCCTTCCATTCATTTTCCTTTTTCATTCATTTCTTCTTTTTCTTTCCTTTTTCGTATCTTTCTATCTCCTTCGGAACGTGCGTCGCACGTGGTTCGCATGTGACATTTAAAACCTGAACCGGACCGGAACGAAGATAGGTCCAGTCATTTCTTCATTCATGATTTGCATTAGATGTGTTGTATTTTTCGTAGTCTCTTTTTCTGAATTAATAATAATAAGTTAAATTTGTAATAATTCGGTCCTTATGTTTTGTTTGCAATATTCTTTGGGTATGATGTAGTGATATTATATGAACCAGACAGTCTCTCATAAATAATAAATGTTTAATCAAATTTAGGTCGTGAACATGATCTACTAAAAGTAGTTCATTAAATTTGCATTATTATTAGCAAGAAGATCTAGAAAAATAGCAATAAAAAAACATAAAAGCTATTATAACAGGACAAAGTCATAATAAAATGATGAAGAAGAACACAATTGTAGTACCATAGTAATATAGAAAATTGTAGATAAATTTGTGCACGCGTCGAAACATCCGCTAATTTCTCGTAAAGACAAATACAAATTTTCGTTTATGGTTATAAGGAAGTATTTCATCGACAGACGGAAAGAATGATAGATAGATAGATAGATAATGTCTGCAATCGCCAATGTTTTAGCCCGTTTGTTTTTATTTTTTTATCCGAGTCGTAACTGGCCATATTATAGTAATGCTACGTATATATTATACGCGTTGGCTTGTTGCAGGGGGCGGGATAAAACTAATGTCGAGGAGGAAGAATTTCTTGTTCTCGTATCGATGGGGGGCAAGAAGACGTACGATCTATCTCGGCGAATAGACTCGATTCACGAGAATGACGTCGTTCGGCCATCTGCCTCGAGTGACCCAAGTGCGCCCGGAATAGCGATAAACGTTTCGAGAGTTAGTTTCATGCTCTTCCTCTCTTTCTTTTTCTTTCTTTTTCTACCCCCGTCCTCCCCTTTTCCTTTTTTTCCTTCCTCGAGTACGCCCCCGCTTCTGCATATAAACCAAACTCCAAATTCTCCAACAAAAACAACAACAACAAGACAATATCAACCCAATTTTCAGCACAATCCAAAATTACTTCAATACAAAGTTACTATCAAATTGCAATATTGCAATAACCACACAATAGCAACAGTAATAATTAAATAACAATACCGATATGAATTTAAGAATTTGATAGATGCATAATAAGTAAACCGCAATACAATAGCAGGACAACGATAACAATGATGATTTTATTTAGTTTTTGTTTTGTAGATTCGTCGAGTTTGTTTCATTCGAGAAGGCGGAGATATGATAGATCTGAGAAATTGTGCGGTAACACGATTAATGAGACATAAATCAAGAAAGCGAGTGAAAGGAACAGAGAGCAAGATCCGTTATTTATAAGATGTATACTTTTCGATCGTTTCGCATTTCTCAGAAAGCTAACTTATTTCGCCTTATTTCTCCTTAGATTTCTCTTATTTCTCTTCTCATCTTGGGATGTTCAGAGTCTTTATCAACGCGTCGTTTAAAAATTAGTAATTGAGAGAGAGGAAGCGAGAGAGTTAATAGAACCGTTGAGTTAATAATATTGGGTTGGTCAATAAGCAACGTCACAATTTTTCATTCTAATAATATATAATTGGATTGTTTAATATGATATAGAAAATATTTGATTTGTCAATAAGATACAATAAATATTATATAACAACAGATTAACTATATACCGAAAAACAAATATTGTAAATTTATTTATTTGAATGCATTTATCAAATAACAAATTCTTACATTGCTTCTTGACCAATCGCGAATAATTTGTACAACCGAACAATTCTGTGCTAATTTTCGTCGTACACTTACTACACACACTGTGCGTAATATATTTTTATTATTAACTTGATTATCATTGTTCTAGTTTCTTTTATTTTCTTTTTCTTATTGAACAAATGCAAGAAGAGATCGCAGAGAGTCTCGTCGAAAATCTCTTTCGTACGTTCGATCCCTCGGTCAAATCGCGCGGTTCGTTGTGTGCCGTCTCTTTCATTGTCCAATTGGTAATATCAACCGCTATTACGCCGTTGAATACATTTAATAGACAAAGAATTGGCAGTGGCTGTCATTCCGTTGCTTTCCACGATCAAATTGCTTCCATATATATATATATATTTTTCTGCAATTGCTATTCTAATTCATATTCAAAAATTTCTATTCCCTGTTTCTTGAACAAATATTCCTGGATTTATATTATTCTTTGTACATATTTGTCATGCAACATTTTCATTAAACAATTTGAGGTTTTTATCGAATCGTATAAAATATATATAAAATCAGTTTCAACAAATTAATTTTTCTTGTACGAAAGCAAGGAAACACTGGAGGAGTTTGGATTAGGATGGGGTATAGTTTTGAATAATGTTCATTATTTTTAAGGGTAGGGGTTAAAATCTGGAGTGTAGAAATTGTGAATAGTAAACGTTTAGTTTAAGAAACCTTTTTGCCATCGACGGTTTGCCAATAACGGGCGAGCGTAGTCCGGTTGTATGTACTACGCGAGGCATTCAATGACCGGGCAATTGGACAATTGAGCTCAATCATAATAATACTTATACGCGCATCGTGTCGGAGTTAGTATATTTCGGCTCCTCGAAAGTAAGTATATTTAGCAAAAATATCGCTCGCGAATATCATACTGGATTATTTGTATCATACGTTTCAAACTATGTGATCACTGAAAACGAAAAAAAAATGAACGTATATAGAAATGTGATTTATTAATATTGTATAAAGTAAATATAATAATATTAAAAATATATATGAATCATGATAAAGAGAGAGAAAAAAAGAATAAAGAAAAGGTAAAAGTGTCTACCGAAATCAATGTAATCGAGTAAAAAATATGAAGGAAAAAAATGTGCAGAATGTATTATTGAAAATTGTTCGTCCTATAGTTAAACATTTGAAATCGAACTTTTATGGCTTTCATATGGGTGGACAGTTCGAGGACGAATGAAGGGAATTAGAAAAAGGAAAGGAGAAGGGTCTGTCTGACTGAATCTCGGAGTAAAGCAGACACAAATCTGTAGGCCAGATGTTGTTACTACTCTCGTCATCTACGCTTCCTTAAGATTGTCAGAGACAATGAATTTTTACTTTGCCACTTTGATTTTTCATTTTTCTTTCTTATCTTTTTATCTTTTACGTTTTACTCTATCCCTTTATCTATCTATCTTTCTTCGTCGTATAGATTCGCGTGACAAGACATGACAGAAAGAAAAATACAACAGAAAAACATCGGTGGCCCGTTCGAAGTTAAACTTCAAACGGTAAATGCACACGTTGGGTGTATATACGGGGTGTCCCGAGAGAATCCTGAGAAACTTTAGAGAAACATATATTCTTATGTAATTAAAATAATAAAAAAATAGGTCTTTGACGAAACACTACGGTCAGGAAGGAAGTGAACTTGTTTCGGAGTTACAATCGGTCGGTTTATATTTATGCAATTTAAAACAGAAATAAATTGTTAATCAAATGAAAGGATTGATATTTATAAAATATTAATGATCGTGTTTTTTTTTTTTTTTCCAAATACCAAAAGTACAAAGTATATTTTCATTTGTGCGATGCAAATAGGTTAGCAGTATCATATCGTTTTGAAATCTGGCGCGATTTACGAAGAGTTTGTAAGCTCGGTTATTTGGTTTCTTCTCTGTCTCTCTGTTTGACTCCCTCCATGATTATAAATTATTGTCGCTGTGAACCGAGGCGACGCAAACGTTCCGGCAAGTCCAGGCAATAATTATACTCACGAGAGGTATAATTATCCGCAAGCTGAGAGCGATTAATTGCTGAGACGTGAAATGTACTACGGTGTGCTTCCAGAGTATTCTCTCTTTGGTTTAATATATTATCTACTCATCTGGGGTTTGTTTTCTTGTTGTTTCTTTTTTAATTAATTTATTTATTTGTTTGCGTTTCCCCCCGCCACCCCCCGAAGGATTAAATAATTCCTTCGATCTTTTCATCCTATTTTTGCTTTTTTTTAATCGTGGATTTTTCGGATTTACGTACAATAAAACGTGTAATCTAATGAATCGGATTTTTTTCTACAAAGAATTCATCGTAGACTACCGGCAAAGTGCATCATTAGACGAATGCATGCCATTATCGCTAATTATATCGTTATACGTTAGATTCTCTCGATGATCGAAGAACGACGTGCTTGGAAAATGGCCAATCTACGCGTTAGAACTATACATATATCATATATATATGTGTAGATAGTTATATACTCGGTACGAACGCAAAGGAATCTTTTGCAAGCTAATACGCGTTCTTAATCCTTTCAAGATTAGTTATATCTATGTATTTTCAAACGTTAAGATAATTCCCCGTTAAATCGTTACAATCTTTACACTGTGTTTAATACTTCTCTTTTATTACTTGTTAAATCTTATTTTTCATTTTTCTTTCTTCTTGTATTTGTACTTACGTTTCTTCGATTGCAATTTTTATAATCTCGTTTCGTTCGATTCCGTTCTTTTCATCATCTTTCAATAAACGTATTCCATTTTTGTCAATGTTCAATTCTTAATTAAGATAAATTATCCTCCATACAGAATCTATCAAAGAATTTCATTGTGTATTATTTCTTTCCCAATCATAAATTAATGGGATAGTTGCAAATTATAATTCTATCATATCATTTTATTTCGGAATCTTTCAAAAAAAAAACAAAATCACTTTTGGAGAATCCCCCTTTTTTTTTTCTTGACAAAAATATAACGGTAGGCTGGCTTTCTGTTGTTATAAATTAACGAGCTTTGGGAAGGGGGGTGGTGAATTTGTGTTGGAAAATAAGAGAAGAAGAGATCAGTAGCTTATGCGTTCTCGGACACGACGAGGAAGAACGTTCTAAAGTAAGCGTTGTCGTAGCGCTAAACTTAGAAACTTGGGCTACAATGTTCGCATATGTATGTATCTATCCTATATATGTATGATGTACATATAGTTGGTCGAGGAACTTGAACGATGCGAAAGAGCGATGGCACCTAACGCGATTTTCGAAAGACCGAGTGTAAAAAGATGACGCGAATGTATTTATGTATCTATGCATCTATGTGTTTATACAGGTATTTATGTATTTATGTGTATATATATATATATAAGCGCATGCACAGGAATGTATGTATATATGTGTCTCTTTCTCTTCACCTAATTGAATCATCCGTCCACGAACGTAGACGATCTCCAATATCCCAAGAATTCCTACAATGAAGAAATTTCTCGCTGCCATTTCTTCAGTTCCGTTCGATTCCGTTTCGTTCCGGTCTCCTCCTCTTCCTCCTCCTCCTCCTCGTCACCTTCTATTAACGATCTATGCTACGAACGAGGCATTTAGTGTTTTATTCACCTGAAACAGAATAATACACATTTTCAATTATTTTTCATTGGACTTTGAAAAAAAACGATCTAAAATTACGATTATGCATAATATTTTTTTGTTTTGTTTACGTGTTAAATCTCGGTCCAGATTTTTTGGACGATGTTGTCCTGTGCCGACCGGTTACATATTTTTTCTCTTATTATTATTATTATTCAAGTAGTTATTTTTTTTAATCCGAAAATATAATCGCGCGAAACGCGCAGCTGGGTGTAACTCCATAAATAGAGTTGCTAATATTTGATGAAACGTAAATGATTGAAATTGAACTGTGACTGAAATGACAAAACAGAGACTTAAAGTGAAATGTGTGAATCGACCTTTAAAAGATTTCTCGACTTTACTCGGTTAACACGATTCCGAGTATCCGTAAGTTATACGTGTGCTGTCTTTCTCGGTATCTGGATAAGTTCATAAGACAGTACAAATAAACTTTGACTATATCGTCGGAGAATGAAAAAATTCTAGAGAGTAAGGTGTTGGAAACTCGGGCAAGAACTTACATTTCTTCGCATTTTATATGAGTCACGTATTGAACATCTAAACTGGTTTAGATTTTTTTTTCTAAATTCATTTCTTCTTGTACGACAATAAATTTCAAATCGTTTTTACAATATTCTTGTTTTTTTTTTATTTCCATCCAAATGATAAATAAAAGAAAAGAAAAAGAATTATGTGAGAATAATTTTAACACGTATAACAATTTTTTTGTATATAATAAGAAATGAAAAGATATATAAAGTAAGAAAAGATAAGAATATGATTCTCAATATTTCGTATTATTTAAATTCAGATATTTTTTTTTTTCATCCCGTTGTTATTTTGTATTTTAAATAATCGGTTTGAGATCAAAGTGTAAAAGGTCGACACAGTGAACTAAGAAACGATGCGAACCCTTTTTAGTAAATTCTAGCAGCCCTGGCAACCTATATATATGCCCTATCGTAGGTTGTAGTAATAAATCGTAAAAGCACGAGCCGTAAAACGAGTTGTTGGGTCCTGTAGAAGAGAACGCGGATAAAACACGTGCTCGAATGGGACTGAATTTTGTGTTCAACGACGCGGCAATAATATTCGATCTATCTTTTACTACGAACGATCAAATTCTATTACCGAGATACATTTGAACAAATTTTCTTTTCTTATCTATAATGACTAACCATCGTTAAACATTACAAACTCTCATATAGATAGAGGAACGACAATTTCAAATGTAAATTCGTCTAAATTCCAAATCATGCTATTCGCCGGTATCTTTTTAAGCCGCTTAAATTTCCAATAAATATATCCGTTTAGAGACCCAAAACGAAACGCGATAAGAAATCGAAAGGTGCGTGCATGAGTCGTGTGCGTGTGCGTGTTCCTTTTAAATTGTGGGCCTGTTCAACACGCGGCCCCCGGGCCACGCATAATCTTGCACTTTAATAATAAACGAATGCAGCTAGACTATAAAATCATAAATAAATTCCTTCTAAACAAACAGATTGTACATTATAGTAATTAATTTGTTTTGTTTGACAATTATTGTAGGAATAATTAAATTCTTTTTTGCTTTATAGTTTGTCCGAAGTAAACATTTTTGACCCAAGGAACCGTGAATGTTGGACATACCTGTTTTAAATGATTTAAAATTGCGCACACATATATACAGGAAGATTAGTATGTGTTCATAGTAGTACGTTCGTTTTTCTTTCTCTTTTACGAAAGTCGTTTAAGTCTAGACATCTTGACTAGATTCTGAAGCATTCTTTCTCATAGTATTTATTTATACCCCCCGTGTATTTGCAGTACTTTCTCGATGTATTTGCTTTACACTTGAATATCGTGTGGTTCATACGAAAGGTATCGATGGTAAAAATATCCTTAAATAGATGCACATTTTTCCCATTTTTCTTTTTGCTTTTTTTTTTTTTTTTCTGGATAGAATTTGATCGAGTACTATACAACTTATAAATAAAATGTATTCAAGAGTATTTAAATCGTTGTTAGATGCATAAATGTGACGTTCGAATTCTACATTAGTACGAGTAAATAATTCAAGTAAATGTGGGTGGTTTAACGAGTCTGGAAATATCGGAATTTTGGTAATCGGATTCAATCATTGTGCAATTGCATCGATGCAACCCCCGTTCGTTTGTATCACAATAAAATATGGAATAATTGATGAAAATTGTTGATGAATATTTCGTCGAATCAATCGGTCCTAATTCGTTGTAGATAATTGTATGATATATAAGAATGTTTGTTCATTTTTCTCATCCCAGATATATGTGAAGTAAATAAAATGAAATAAAAAAGCATAAAAAATGAAATAAAAGAAAAAAAAAAGATATCGTGTCGCGATAAGGAAGCGTAGTCGCGACGTTCGCGCCACACGATCTTCATCCGATGTTCGTGCGATACCAACTCAAGGAAAAGGCCCGTGCCATGCATAATTATACGTTTAGGGAACGTGCGACGCTTTACGAGTTGACTCGAGCGCCGGTGAAAGGGCAAGAAGAAGAAGAAGAAGAAGAAGAAGAAGATGGCACGCGTCTCGAATAACTTATTTTACGTATCACGCTTCTAATTTATTCGATCGAGTCAAGTTTCTATGACGATCTTTATCCACCTAACAGTTTTTCGTAATCATTCTCACGAAGGAAGACAAAATAAAACAAAAGAAAAAAAAAGCATACGGGATATTGGGTAATCGTTGGAAGATTATTTTTCAACGTTTGTTTGATAATATAAGATATTTTTATAAGAAATATAATACGTATTTCATATTTTTTTTGGGGGGGAGTTTTTTTCTTACAAAATATAATATATAAAATTGATATTATTATATTATAATTAAATGCACCATATGTTAGATATATATATATATATATATTTTTTTTTAATGCCTACGAAACAACGAACAGATATCTAACTCTAAAAGGATAAATGTAATAAAACACAGTATATAGTAACGTCAGTGATTCCTTTGGGGGAAAGAAAAAGAAAATACAAGAACTTCTTTATATGTAAGTGGATACATAAGTATAATATATATATATATACACTGTTTCGTGTTTGACTTTCTTTTCCCAGGGCACGACCGAGATATTTTTTCGTTGTTGTTAAATTCAAAAGCCATGTGAACGTTTCGTTATCTGCGTCAATGATTTTCTCCCCGGTGGTTTCTTTCATTAGTGGTCATCGAAGCGAATAAACCCGTGCGATGTTTCAAGAGGAAACTTTCACAATTTCCCGATACCCGATATTTCTTCTTCGTCATTAGGTAAAAAAAAAACAATATCCATCGTTAGTTTGGAATATTTTTTCATCAATATTTTTCTTCAATTTAAGAATATATATTTTATTTCGCGCGTGTAAAATAGTTTTACTCATAATTATTGATAATATACGAAAAGGAAGGGGAGAGTTGTTTAAGGGATGCGTCATAGAATATTATAAATAGAATTCAAAATTCAAATCTGTCAACGAAGTTATTTGTACTTGTCAGTCAACGAGAGGGATGTTCCTTGATGCAGTAGTTTATCAAACGAATTGTACATACTAAAAATGAATAGAATTATTGATAATAATTAATATTCCTATCCTAGAGGAACGTAATAAGAAAAGATTTAACAAACGAAAACAATAAAAAAATGTATGTTATATTAAAAATCTAAATCTGCATCAATTTTCTGAGTAACCCAATACACTAAGACTGAAAAAAAAAAATAGAAAGAGAAGGAGTAACACAGATAGAACGGTGACAGTAACAGGAGCAACCAAAGTAGGAACACCAGCAGCACCAGCAGCAGATGTTTGCTCGTTGGTTGCACGGTAGGAGCAAGAAGGGACCAGGTCACAAAGGCTCAAACGCGCGAGCTTCCCTGAAACGAAGCCCTTGGCGGCGCCATAACAGAGGACGAATGTATTTCGAAAGGCGAACATGAGCGGACGTGGATAAAGAAAGAAAGAAAGAAAAAAAAAAAAGAACCACCCAAAATTCTCCTTTCCGTAACGTTAACTTGCTCTTCCCGCCAACCGTAATTCCCATGGCTCTTATAATTTTATACAGGGTGTTCAACTCTATCCTAGATATTTTTCACTACTATATTAGGAATGAAAAAGATCATTTATGGGCTTTGCTATCGGCAACATTATTACCTTTTATGTTTTTCCTATTTCTTCGACAAACTTATTACGAAATTGTAAGAAATCATAATTAAATGATATACAATTAAATATAACAATGTTAATATTGTTCTATATATCGAAACGTAAAGAATCTTCTTGAACTTTACCAACAATTCATTCATTAAATAAATCTGATGTGAACACCTACATGTGCATGGTTATATTATATGTATGTATACCCACATATGTTTTAAGAGTATGACAAAAAAAAAAGAAAAAGAAAAAGAAAAAACAACAAGAGATTTCTTTTATAATGACGACGAAGAGAGAACACTGGCCGCGTTATATTCGAGTAAGCAATAATAATGCATGTATACATGTGGAAGGAGGGACTGTGTCATTAAGTTGACACGTGTTCGTGAAAGGTGCGACTAATCGCGTAGGTACAGTTATTTATGCGCTCTTCGACACGTTGGTGGTTTTCTTCCTCTCTTTCTCTCTCTTTCTCGTTCAGACACACATATACAGTTCCTGCTCTTTTAAAAGAGTAATAAATTCCATTTTTGAAAAGGAAAAGCAGTGCACGAATTGTCGTGATCGTGGAAAGTCAATGAGATAAAAGATAGAGATTGAAATAGGAATATCAAGAGTATAGAATGGTCCCACATGGGGACAACCATAAGTTCGAAGATCGGAGTTCTAGTATGCCGTTACTTGCTGGCTGTTTCTCTAAGACGGAAGCACAATGAACGCGATTCACGAACCTCCTCGTGGTCGTGTTCGTTGTCGTCGTTTAAAGTTGCTGCTGCTGCTGCTCCTGCTACTGCTCTCTCGTTTAACTCGTGGCGTGAGAAAACACGATGAGAAACTACTACTAAGAGCGTACAATTCGAAAAGAGAAGCTTATATTATATTACCGAGACTATCCCGGTCTCGGAGTACACAAAGTCTGTCATTGAATGAGAGAGAAAGAGAGTTGAAGAAAGAAAGAAAGAAAGAAAGAAAAAGCTTTCTTAAAAGTACCTCCTTCAAAGGTCTCTACTATACTCATCTCTTCTTCTGTTTCTTTTCAATTCGTTTGATTGAACTATCTACGATTGAAGGTAAATCATTTTGAGAAATCGTATTCATTACTTATAATTATTATTTTGTCTCTGTTAGATCTATAATTCATTTAAGTTTTTTTCTTTTTCAATCTAATGATTCTAATTATTAACCTTAGAACTACTAATTGGGGTAGATATTTATCCCAGGTAAACTTAAATTAAAGGAAGATTTGATCGTTTTTCAGTACTTTAATTTATTTCAATCGATTTTTCAGCGATTAAACTTTAGTCAATTTGTACTTCACCATTCTCTTTGGCATGAAAAAAAAAAACAAAAATTCATATACTTAAAAGTCTGATTATTGCTATCAGAACAGTTTTTAGGATTAGAAAACCTTGGGTAAAATATATATCCCCAGTTTGTAGTTTGAAGGTTAAAAAAATAAGTTTGTATAATTCTAGGATTAAATGAATTTTTCATTAGATCGGATAATTAATTTATTATTGAAAAAAAAAAGATAAAAGAGAGACAAGGTTTGAGATGTTACGTCGAGATTAACTTTTTTTTAATTGACACAACGAGTGCAACAAACTTTTATTTTCGTTTCTTTTCTGATTCGTATAATCTAAATGAAAGAAAAAATATATGCCGTTTTGATATAAAATTATAACAATCGAGCGATCTCAAAATATAAAATCCATAGAGAAATGAAATTTTACGTGATTTAGTTAGTTATGACAAGATTATAACATATATTAAAAATTCGTTCCGGCATGGTAACAATATAAATTAGTGATCCCGAGGCGATAAGCTAGAGGAATGTAAAGAAAGGTTTCTCGCGTGCTGCATGAAACGAACCCAAAGTATAAAAATAAAAGAAAAGGAATAAGAAAAGTTAAAGATAAAGATGATCGCGAGTCACGGATTGCACGATCAACCGACGATCAGGATTTACAAACTTAAGCTATCACGAAGGAAGCTAACTATAAATGATGTGCTTTTTATTTTAAATACAGAATACAAATTTTGTAAACACGACGCGTTTAAATCCTGTTCTATGTTTATAAACTATATTACGATTAATAAATTATTCATTACAAAAATCAGCGATATACGAACGGTCACGGGGTATAAATGAATATATTTGTAAGCTTATCGGTAAATACAAATGATTACAAAACGTATTAAATGTTTGTATCCATATATTTTCCCGTTTTCTTCCCGAGTATTTATGAAGTCATAATTTCACGCATAATAAATACAAATTTTGGGATTTTCATTAAAAAACGATCCTTCGAAGAAAATATTCGTGTTGGACGGAGATTCGAAATAATACAAAAAAAGAAAAAAAAGGGGAGAGTACATTTCTTGAAATAAGATTTGACTTCCGAATTGACGAAGTAAAAGCCAGAAGTAAAAGAAATTATAGAGGGTGTCCGAAGGAGGACGAGTAGGAAGATAAGGAGAAGGGTAAGGGGTAAAGGGTAAGGGGGTAGGGGGTTAGGAGTCGGAGAAACGTCCATTATTCTATTCCGGCGAAGTGAGCCCGGCAATCTGGCCTTATAAAATAAACCACTCTATCCGCCTCGGTGCTTGTGCCTCGGTGCGATCTGTCAAATAAATCGTTCCATGTTTCTTACCAGCTTACTTAGGACTTTACCTCCGTGAGGAGTACTCTCCTCTCTCTTTTTCATTTATCCCACTTCTGATCCGTTTCCTCCTCCTCCTCCTCCTCATCCTCCTCCTCATCCTCCTCCTCATCCACCTCCTCATCCCTTTCGCAGTCATCTCGACAAGAGGATTAAGAGGAGAGTTACGGAGAAGAAACAGCGTGAAAACTTATTTTCATACAACGCGTCCCACTGTTTCTTACATTGGAGACAAACAACGACAGAATATTCGACATCAGTAAGAAATTGAATGAATGAATGAATGAGAGAGAGAGAGGGAGATAATTTACGATTTATTTCATTTTTAATTACAAGATATCAAATTAATAATACCACGCGAGTAGACACCTGATGTGGTAATTGAAATGAAAATTTGATCGAACGAAGATTAATACCCATACGTTCAAACCAGTTTGAAACCCATGAAACGCGTAGTCATACGTTGTTAATTAACGACGAGTATTACACGTTTAGCCGTATACTGCTAATTATTCCTTATTCTTTTTACATCGTTTAATTGCGAGATGCACACGTTTTATTATTATACTATAATATCTGAATATATTGGAGAGAGAGTTGTTAATATATATATTAAATATATTATTAATATAATATACTTTTTTTTTTGGAGGGGGGGGAAATTTTTAAACTTATATTAATATTAAACATTTAATTAATATACATTATATTATCCAATGAAGATAATATATATTATTCCATCAAATTAATCTCGTAAATATCGGAATACAAAAATCATTTTACATTCGTTTGAAAAGGGGAAAGAGGAACAAAAGTTTCTTCGTAATTTTTATTGTAATAATATTGAACGATCTTTTAATTAAATTTATTTAATTATAAAATTAATAACGAAAAAATAAATATAACACACTTCATATATTGCACCCTGTTTTTACCAAGCACGAATTTGGATTAAGAAAGTGGGCCTTTAAGATTCTACTCTTGTATGAGTAAAGGAGAAAGAGAGTGAGAGGGAGAATAAGTGGGAGAAAGGGGGAGGGGAAAGGGGAAGAAGAGATTAAGTAAAGCCGCGATAATAAATTATATACTCGGTTCCCTTTCTGCGTTCCACCGTGTGTCAGCTTTTAAATGGACCGATAGGCATTCAACCGATAGGGATCAACGCTAATTTCGAACACAGTATACCTACGGGTGCATCATGTTAAGAAAAGATGAACGGTGGGGGGGACCATCGGGAAGAGGGGAAATACTCAATGAGAAAAATGTAAAAACGTTTTGGAGAACGAAATGATGACAACAGGGGTTAGTAAAACACAAACGAGAAACTTATGAATTTAACAAAATCAAGATTTATGTATATCCTTCGGTTCATTTACTTGATTTGATTAGATTTGTTTGTGAGAAAATTATTTTATAATATATTATTTATTATATTACGATATGAGAGAAGATTAACAAAATTTTTGTTGGTTTTTATATTAAGTACTGTAACGATTAATTTATAATGTGTGTGTTTGTATGCATACATGTAATGATTGTTCATTTGACGTATAAAAATTAATAGTTTAGTACATTATTATATTTATTATATTGGTATATTCTCTAGATGAAATGATAAAAAGAAATTATAATATAAAAAAAAAAGAATATCTCTACGTATATAAAATAGAAATAAGTAAAGTGATGTGACTTCTCTTCAAAGTTAATAGCATGACGATTATAAAGAGAGTAAGAAAAGAAACATTTATAAAATGAATGGCAAGAACGTGAAAGATAAATAAAGATGAAGAAACGAGCTGAGTGAGTGAGTGAGAAAAAGAGAAATAAAGATAGAGAAAGAAAGAATGAAAAAGGAGACTCTCGATCTATAGATCGAAATCTTTCGATCTATAGATCCTTCGATCAATGTATAATTTAATTTAAATTCAAAGTGCATAATACTGCTTGTGGTATACATTTAAAGAACGTTATGTAGAACGGTAAGTTGGCATCGAAGAACAATTGATTTCTCTTTCTCTCTCTCTCTCTCTCTCATTTCCTATAGAGTATCCTTCTCCGGATTCACATAAAAATTTTAATTTCATTATTTCTCGAATAAAAATATGTAAATTTCATTAAAATTATATATTATTTCTCGAACAATTGTGTGAACGCATAAACATGATCATAAATTACTTGTATTACTAATCAGAATTTCAACGCTTTATTAATTTATTTGAAAACAAAACAAAAATTGTTTCTTCATCTTTCTATTTTTTTTTATATTCTATAGGAGCGGTTTGAATGTCGTTTAATCGTTGGACAACGCAAAGCCAATTAATGTCTCGCTCCTGTATAAGCCCACGCGCTATTTCTCGTTTCATCTTTTTTAGCGTGGTACGATAGTAAGTACTTATGAACTCATCACTATTCAAAAAAAGGTCAAAGATATGTGTCTATACTGGTAATAATGATGGTGAAAATTAATGAATTTTATATAAGATTTCTTTGAAATACAATCGACACATATAAATACACGCAAATAAATATAAATAAAATAGTAGGAATCGTATCTGCATCTAAGTATTGTAGAAAAAAAGGGGAAGATGAAAAATGCATGACGGGGAGGAAAAAAATTAAGAAAAGGACAACAAAAGACTCACAATGGTGTGTGTGTGTGTGTGCGTATCCTCCCTTTTTGATTTCTTCCTCCTCTTATTTGATTTTTTCCAACCTTCGCCCTTTCTTTTTCTCTCGTTCTTTTTTTCTCGTTAATTTTCTTTGTAACTGAGAGAGGGAGAGAGAAAGAGAGAGAGAGAGAAAGAGAGAGCCTTCTGTTTCTTCTCTGGTAACGAGAAGACGCGTTCGCACGCGTTTCTGTTTTTTCTCAAAACTCTCAAGAACGCTCTCGACAAATTTCCAAGAGACTAAGAAGAAGACACCACCATCCACCACCACCACAACCAGCGGCAGCAACAAACAGCGTGACTTTCAAATCCAATCGAATTGTCTATTAATTCAAAGTTAGTAGAAGAAGGGTGTATCATCCATGAATTAATATTTCTTTCCCCTACACACTTTTTCTCTCTCTCTCTCTCTCTCTCTCTCTCTCTCTGTCTCTCGTTATTTTGTGTTTTATTATTTTTCTATGAAATTCTTTAAGCAGCCAGTTTATTAAGAAAATTTCGTTCGAAGGAAGCTGATTCACTGAACGTGCATTTTCTTATGTTGTTTCAGGCTTAACTTGTACCGTCGTTATAAATCCTTCTTCCCTCTTCCCATTATCCCTCTTCCTCCTCTTCTTCTTCTTCTTCTTCTTCTTCTTCTTCTTATTCGTAATATAATTCCTCGACCATAACTCGATCCAAAAAATTTCACGATTAAATATTAATCAATAATTCGATAATAATTCACACACGTACACGAGATAATAAGAAGAAATAATTGCACAAGAGATCAAAAAATTGAAACGTGTTCTTTGCATAAATTCATAGATGCAATTAAATTTGATAATTGTCATTTACAATTGTTGTATTATTGTTTTGTTTATATCCTCCCACGACGACGACGACGCACTGATAATTTGTGTGTGTTTTTTTTTTCTTGTACGAGGGATGAGATTTGCCCGTTTTATTTCGTTTTTCGAATTAGGTGGGACACGAACTAACGCGCGAGTTGCAATCCGTCCGTCTGTCCTTCCTTACGTCCGTTTTAGTTGAACTTAAAACTTAGCCGAGAGAAGAGGAACGACACGAGAAACGGCAGGAGCAACTACTAACTCGGATGCGCGAGGAAAGCTCGGGGCGAAGTGCCAGACTCGTCGTAGTCGTCGTCGAGCTGTCGCTCTCGAAATAACTGCTGCTCCTCCATCCCTCTGCCCCTCTACTCTCCCCCTCCCTCTCTACCAGACGCTATCCCTGCCCTCCGGCTACCACCACCAACAACACCACCACCACCACCACCACCATTACCATCATCAACCACCTTCGCTTCGTTTGACCAACCCCCCTTCTTTTCCTTTCAACAAATTCTATTACCAGTGGGTAGCTGGGTGGCTTGGGTTTTCGAAAGAACTCGTGTTTTTTCCCTTACGAATACGACTTTACATTTTTACCCTTTTTTGGGGTTTTTTTTCCTTCTTTTTCCTCAGTTTCGATCAAATTTCTTACAAATATCTTAGCACACATACACACGTACGATACAACATTGGGCAAACATAGTGAAAGTCGACAACGATTCGAGGAAAATAATATATATCTTATTTTTATCTGCATAAATATACACGCGATAGAAATTGGATACGGTTATCGACTAAATAATTTATCAAACATAGAATAACACACGCGAGAGAAAAAAAAACGATACTTGTGTGTGGTTGGACTTAGATTTTTGAATGTTAGAAACATTTTACCCTAAGCGCGTTGTCAGGTAAAAAATTTCCTTTTTTATTTTTTCCTTTTCCTAAAGTCGTTTCTTGATTTTTCTACCATCTTCCATCTTCCCTTCCCCTTTCTACCTCTCATACCTCCCTTCATCTTCTTCTTCTACTTCTTCTTTGCCATCCCTTCTTTTCCCTCTCACTCTCTCTTTTCCTTTTTTCGAAGGGCTCGCACTCTCACGTGTTTCAAACATGCTCGAGACATGTGTCCTCTGCAACGAGCACCTTTTCCTTTTTTTCTTTTCCTTCTTTTTTTCTCCCCCCTACATTTTTTTTTTCCTCTTTCTCCCCGTTTTCGGAATATACGAGGACACCAATGAAAACAAAACCCGTGATCTAACTTTTTGCAATTTTGCAAATCCATTGATTTCAATCGAAGAATAATTTCTTTCCCATACGATTTTTTTCGGACACTCTACGCATTGAAATATATTCATTATTATATAAAATAATGATTTTTATATCTTTCAATATATATACTATTATAAAATATTAATAGTGTAGAAATATGTAATTTAATTGAATTGAATAAACGGATTGCATAAGTGTGTTAGTTTCTGATAATATGTGATCATAACTGCATTTGAAAATGGATGATTAATATCCTCACTCTCTCACTTTTCTCTTCTATTATTCTTACTCTCTCTCTCTCTCTCTCTCTCTTTCTCTCTTAAACTTTATATCGACAACGTCTTTTCATCGAGAGATCACTTCCGGTTATCGCGAATCCTCCATAAGATCGTGCCGGAAGAAAGAGAGTAACCGGATACGCCAGGAAACATAAATCACCTTAACCGAGAAAGTCGAGCAAACTAATTGTAAACCGAGGTGTGGTCAATTCGTCGAGTGACTTAACGGATTTTACTTTTTTCCTATTCCCTTCCCTTTCCCCTCGACCGCCTTACCACACCCCCCAATAAAAGAAAATCTTTTCTGTTATTCTCACTTCTTTTTCCGTTTTTCTTTTTCTAGGAATTTTGGTATTCTCATTAAATTCCTACCAACTCGGATCGGTCTCAATTTTAGGAAAAAACTTTTACATTCCTTTTCTTACGTTTTTTTCTAAAAATTCAAACTATTTATAACTCTCCAGTTCATATTATGTAAAAATATATATTTAATTTATCTAAAAGGGAGAGAAAAATTATACAGTCGTAGTTTTTCAAAATCAGTATATACTATAATTAAAAAAAATCCGAATAAAACTTTGAAACAATCCAAGCAAATTTCCCATACTGTCGATTAATCCTAATAGATTTTATTTTCGTATTATATTTTTTTTTTTTAATTAAAATTCCTATTCGAATATCATCAGAAAATTGTAAACCAAAGTAGATATTATCATCGACGTAAACGTTTTCGCGTTTGCAATGGCAACGCTAAGGAATTAGTCGTAGATATAAATAGTAGTCCTCTCCCCCTCAGCCCCCACACACACACACAAACACATTCGCGTCAAGAGAACAACGACTTGTCCCTCTTTTTCCTACAAAATATATGCACTCACGCATACATGCACGCACTCATGTACGCACGCGTGCACAACCAAGCATATACCTTGTGTGTGTGTGTATAAATGCATTACAAATATACGATAGAAGAGAAGAAACATGCACTGAACTAAGCGACCAGTAAAGGTTGTCTTTTTTCAAACAGTATTATAGTAGTGTTGTCCCCCCATCCCCCCACTACCCCTCGAAAAACGCCTTAAGTTCCAGTGAAAACAAGATCTACGTGCGAAAGACGCATATCTTTCGACGGTTAAACAATTTTTATTTCGTTTCCTTTTAGGCCCAAGTTTCTTTTTCTATCCTCTCTTTCCTCTTATTTCTTATTCTTTTTCTTTACACTAATGAGACTCACCCCACGAGTTAACGCAACGCCCCTTTGCGTGATTCTTTAAAGGTATATAAAAACGTACCCTAAGAAACTTACTCTACCTTCTTTCTCTCTTTCACTCTTGCAATACCTTTTTTTTTCCTTTTTCTCCTCCTCCTCCTTCTCCTCTTTCTTTCTTTCTTTTTATTCGTTTTATCTTTTTTTTCTTTTTTCCACAAATGCGATTCCCCACCCAGTAAGTAAAGTACTTGGTATGGAAAATAGCGAAGAAGAAGAAGAAGAGGCTTGAAGCTAGGTAGCTAGCGTGGTTAACTCGTAATTAGCCGCTTTACGTACCGTTCCTAATATTCTTCCTCTACTCTCTCTTTCCTTCTCTATTTAAATCCGATTTTTCTTTCTTCAGTTTTCTTTTTTCTTATTTCTTTTTTTTACAATCAAATTAGAATACCTAGTAGCAATTTATTTTTAATACCGTACTAATTTTAAACGGAGAATATTAAATATGTTTCATTAAATTACATTTGTTTAGTTTTCTAACGTGTAATACAAATTTCATTAGAAAATATTTTGTTCACATTACGCATTGAAATTTATTGTTCGATGTTTATCTATTCGATAAAACGAAATTAAGACAAATGGAAATTAATTAAATATAAATTTGATTTGTTAGTTGTTTGATTGATTGAAAAATAATGATGAAAATGCAGTGATTCAAAAATAATTATAACAAATGATAGGTTATATCGGAAAAACTTAAAAATCATATCTCAACTATCTTAGTTTATTACTTCAGATGATTATGAGATTATATGGATATTTATTATACTGTTAAAGTGTAACTTGCTTACTTACTTACTTACTTACTTTCGTTCGTTCGTACATTCGGTTGGCTTTTTCCCTGTAAACACTTCGCGCTGCTTCGGATGAAATTAATATTAGAATTTTATCGCTTGCACCATTTCCGTTCTTCCTCGAAAGATTCTTCGTCCTTCTTTACTTCCATCCATTTCTTTGGTTCAGAGGACAACATCTTTAGCAAAACAAGATGCAACATTTTAACGCGAAACTTGTGGAATAAAATTCGGATGTGGATTGAATTGACTTATTTTACTTTATATACGTTTTACTCGATCATTCACATCGGGATTTTGTGCTTTTCTATATATCCAAATACATATGTGTGCGTTTAACAAACAACCCTCTTACATTTGACGATATTTGTTTATTCATTCGTATCAAAAATAAAAAATCTAAAATTCTATTAAGATTAGAAAAATAATTTACAATATTAACCAACAAACAAAAAAAGATAGTAGAGAAAAAGTTATTTGAAATATCATCTAAAATAACTTTTATAATATCCGAGCTCTAGTATTAAAAATGTCAGCATTACTTATTACCCAACCAAGTATCTATTTGTTCGTTTGAAAAGATAGAGAAAAAGG